GTTAGAATCTCTAGTCAAGTAGAGAGATTGACTATTCATAGGGTGCTTCAGAATTAACAGGAGGGAAGATAGAGAATGTGGAGTAGATGTAGCTAGGTCCAGGGTGGTTGGGGTGGGAAGATTATAGAAGAAGCTTCTGGATGTATCTGTCTTTTTCGGTTATGTGTTATCTCCGTGGGTCTGTAAGTGGTATGCCCACACTTCTACGTTGGCAATTTAAACCCAGCCAGCAGTGCCATGGAAGAAAGGTCCAGTGATCTACTTCTGCTTAGTTACCACGCAAGACAACTGTCTGGGGTTTACTGCTCTCTGACATGTTAGATTGTCATCAGTCATATGGACTTGACAGCAACAAGTATGGCTTTGGCTTTATTATCTCCATGCAGAAAATTGAGTCTTAGAGATAATTTGTTCACTGTCAGATACCCAGTAAGTGTCTGAACTGGACTTTCAGACTCTAGGATCAGACTGTGCCTGGGTGACTTTGAGCCAGTCAGTCTTATGCTAGGAAAGCAGAGCCCATGTTGAATGAGCAATCTTAATTAGTCAATTCTCAGTGCAGCCAAACTTTGCAGCACAAATAAGTTTATTTTCATGATTAAATTAGTCATGCCATAAGGAGTAGGATGGGAAATCCCATAGGTGCTGGTGTTTCCTTCCATATTTTCAATATTTCCAGACAAGCCAACCAGTCTGTGTCCATTTGCTGGTGAGTGGACAGAGGGCAGAGAATTCTGGCAGCATTGTAAGAGGTGAGGACCTTGGGTCAGTTGGATAGATTATATCTGGGGTGTCCCTCCTCAGTCTTCAGTTCTGAGAATTTCATCAGCCTGCAGCCTTATTTCCTAGTCAAAGTGACAAAGGAAGTGAGTTAGACTGGAGGAGGCTTTCCTTAGGTTCCCAGCACTGAGGTGACCAGTGATCTCAGAAAAGCGTCGTGGATAGCCTTCCATCTCAGCAAAGCATCATGGGTTCTTCTTCCTATGAGACTCAGCCTCCATGCTGGCCTGGCGCCTGCAGATGGTGAACCCCACAGAGATAAAGCTCTCAGCTGTTCATCCCCCACTGTGTCATAGTACATGCCCAGCTGTGCTCACTTTATATTAACCAGCCTGGGTCAGTAGGAAACTGCCCCACCTTACTTATGAACCAATTACTGACCATGAGAAGGAAAAAAAAAACAACACCAAAAACACCAGGCTTTTGAAACTCCTTTGTACCATTGACTTGCTCAAGCAGTAGAGCTCTTGCTAGATGGATATTTGTTTCAAATAGTGTTGTTTAGACACAGAGTAGCCTGCCTGGGACTGAGCAGAGTTTTCTCACAAATACAATTTACTTCTACATTGTTTCCCAAATTCTCTTTTGCTGATACTTTTAAAGATGCCCGTTTTGACTGTCACATATGGCCAGCAGAATTTGTTCTTGTAACAAATCAGCTGCTAGGGTTTTCCCTCCAAGAACTTGACAGGCTTGCCACTTTGTATGTAACTTGTTAAAATTCACAAACGGCTGGGAGTGACACAGGTGCCCTGCTCCGTGGCCACCAGGCACGCAGCACTCGATGTGACATGTGAAGCATGCGTGGAAACCAGTTTAAGCACATTCTGCATGAGGCAACGTGTGCAGACACAGAAGGACTCTCCTCTGAGTCTCTGGCTTTCCCACACCCACTGATACTGCCTTCCCCCACCCTGTTGATGCCTGCCAGATCCTCAGCCCCACCCAGTCTCCACTCTATGCAACCAGCACTGGAGAGAAATCCCAGGGCTTCCCCAGGTAGCCTGAGCTCCCCAGTTCAGCTGATACCTTCTGCTGCCTATCACATCGTTTCACCTTCATCCATTCCTCACTCCCACTGTCCAGTCAGGATGTGGCCATCTCAGACCTGGACAGTTGCACACCATACTTTTAATTGTACCTTTTGCCTATTGGACTCAGTATATCCAATCTTCTTACACTTTATGATGACTGATCCTGGAACAGTATGATAGGGAACTGCCAGAAATGCATGCTAGATTCGAAGGAGGTAATAGTAAAAGAAACATCATTGCTGATATCTGGTGGATCTTGAGTGAAAACAGAGAATACCAGAAAATTGTTTACTTGTGTTTTATTGATTACACAAAGGCATTTGACCTTGTGGATCATAGAATGTTGTAGCAAACACAGGGGGAAAAAAAAAGAATGTCCCATAATACTTAATTGTACTCATGTAAACATTTACCTAGACCAAGAAGCATTTGTCCAGATAGAACAAGGGAACAATTTGTGGTTTAAAATTAGGAAAGGTGTACATCAAGGTTGTATTCTTTCTCTGTACCTATTCAATCTATATGTTGAGCAAATCATTTAAGAAGCTGGACTCTCTGAAGAAGAATGAGGCGTCAGGGTGGGAGGAAGACTGATCAACAACCTGCATGATGCAGATGACTGACACAGCATTGCTTGCAAAAAGGAAGAAGGCTTGAAACACTTGCTGCAGAAGATCAAAGATTACCACCTTCAAAATGGATACTGTCTCAACATCAAGAATACAAAAATCCTCACAACTGGACCACTAGGCAACATTATGATAGATAGAGAAAAATATGAAGTTGTCAAAATCTCATTGTATTTGGATCCACAATCAACATCCATGGTAGCAGTAGTCAGGAAAGCAAAAGAATTTTTTGTATTGAGTAAATGGGCTGGTGAGGACCTCTCCAAAGAGCAAAGATGTCAGTTTAAAGACTAAGGTGTGCCTGATGCGAGCCATCTTTTCAATCACTTCCTGTTTCTCTGAAAGTTGGACAGTAAATAAGGATAACAAAAGACAAATTGATGCCTTTGAATTGTGGTGTTGGCAAACAGTATTCAGTATCCAATGAGCTGACAAAAGAGCAGGTAAATCTGTCTCAGTGGAAGCACAACCAGGGTGTCCTTGGAGGCCAGGATGGTGAAACTTCATCTCTCTCACTTTGGGCATATTTCTAGGAGGAACTGGTTCTTGGAGGTGGAGGGCCAGCTAAAGAGAGGAACACCCTCTATGAGATGGATTGACCCAGAATCTGCCACATTGACTCAACAGCACCTAAAAACCAACAACAACTCTTGTTTCAATCACACAGGACTTACTCCCAAATGCATCATGTTCTCCATTACTGCGGGGCCCTTGTCCGTGCTGTTCACTCTCCCTAAAGCACTGTCTTAGCCCAGCCTAACCACTCCTCCTCTTCTTCTAATTCGAATGGATTGTAGATATCACCACCACTAAGAAGACTTCTTTAATTCCCCATGCCCAAGATACAACAAGGTGAGCATGTTTCTTGCCTGGCAGTTATCAGTCGTTTGAGCTGAAGGGATAGGATAAGATTGGCTTTATATGTATGTTGTTGTTGTTGTTATGATTGCTATCAAGTCAAAATGGGCTTAGAGCTGACCTTCCAGCAGGTTTTCAGAGGCAGTAAATTGTATGGGGGGAGATTGTCCTTATCCCATGGAGCAGCTATCCGATTCAAACACATGCCTTTAGGATTGCAGTGCCGCTTCTTACAGTAGGCCACTTGTTGTTGTTGTTTATTGCCATTGAGTTGAGCACAACTCATAGCGACCCTTTGAACAAAAGGCCTGAAGACATTCTGTAACTATTGGCAATTATCAAAGTTCATGGAGTTTCCAGAGTCGTGTTGTGTAGGAAGTGATGCTGCTCGCCTTTGTATGCACACACATACATACACAACATTGATCGCAGAAATGTATGTGCACAAAGAAGTAGATACCCAAATGACCAGCTCAAATGCTTGAGGGAGCTGGCCTGTGAAGAATAGCGAGAGGGGAAGAGCCACTTCCTTCTCTTACAGAACTTCCGTAAGGAATGTTTTACATCAGTGTCCAGCTGAGCACCTTTCACTGTAGCCAAAATGTAGAAACAGCCTAAATGTCATCATCAGAGGAACTGATGCACAAAATGTGAAATACATGTACAATAAAATCACTTACTCCTGACAACAGAGAGTCTTCATGTGTGCCACAGTGTAGACGGACCTTGAAATTGTTGTTAGGTTCACTCATAGTGAATCAGTGAACAACAAACAAAATGAAATCGTATTAATAGATCATGATTACATGTTTGATGAACTTCAAACTGCAGAAGTTGGTTGAAATCCTCAATTTCTTCATCCATGGTTTTAGTTGGTGCATAAATTTGAATAATAATTGTGTTGCCAGGTGTTCCTTATATGTATATAGATACTATTCTGTCACCGAGGTCATTGTGTGTCAGAATAGCTTTCGAACTGTTCTTTTTTACAATGAATGTAGCACTATTCCTTTTTATCATTGCCACCATAGTAGATTAAAAATGGCCAATACCAGCCCATTTTGGCTCTCCAATATTTATTTCTGGTTTGGATTTTTTTATAACTTCCATTTTTCCTAGCTTTCTTTGTTTATACATTCCACAATTCAACTATTAATGGCTATCTGCAGCTGTTTCTTTTCATTTTGAGTCATGCTGCATAACCAAATGAAGGTCCTGTGAGTTTTAACTCACATCTGTATCATAAAGTTGGGAGCTCTGGTGGCCTAGTGGCAAGAAGCTGTGCTGCAATCCCAATGGTACGCGGTTCGAGTCCACAGCTGTTGCATTGGAGAAGAATGGAGAGTCTCCTCCCGTGTGATTAACTGCCTCCGACAACCCACTGGAGGGTCAGCTGTGGGTTGATTCCAACTCTACTATATGGTACACAACAACAAACAACTTAGGGAGGTAGCACTTCCCCAGTTGTAATTTGAACACCTTCCAACCTGAGGGGCTCCTCTTCTGGAAGTATATCAGACAAGGGTCTGCTGCTTTTCACTGGCCATTTATTTCAGAAGCAGAACACCAACCCTTCTTCCTTGAGTGTCTTAGTCTTACAGCTCTGCTGAAACCTGTGTATTATGAGTAGCCCTGCAGATATTTGGAATAATGGTGGTTTATCTTCCAGCAACCCAGAAACTTACAAGTTCAGCACAAAATGACAAACTGGCAGGTGAGTGGTGGTAAAAACATGCTGAGTGAAATAACTCAGTTACAAAAGGACCTACATGATACATGATCCTACTTCTACATAGTGTCCAGGAGTTGGAGTGGTATTAAAAAGGAAGACTCATTTCTTCAGAGCCACTGATTATTTGTTAATTGTGGCAGATAATTTGGAAAAGTATTATGGTGATGGTTGCACAAAATAATGGTCGTAATAAATGCCACTGAATTAAATTGTTGAGTTTAAAATTGGTGAATCAGCATATCATTCTCCTGTACACAGGGTTGCAGTGGGTCAAGCCAATTTGTTGTGGCTTAGTGGGAAGGAATTGCACTGTCAGTGCAGAAGTATGTGGTTAGAGTCCACCAGCTGCTCCAAAGGAGAAAGATGGGCGTTATTCTCCCTTGCGGTTTTACTACCTCTGAAAACTCACTGGAGTGTCAGCTGTGGGTCAGCTCCAGCTCGTCAATACACAACAACAGCATAGATACTTTACTATGTTAAAGACAGTATTCACTCACACTATTGCTCATTGCTGTGGAATCGAAACAAGTCATAGCTGACCCTCAGCCAGTTTTTGGAGACTAAATTGCATGGGGGAGATTTCCCATCTTTCTCCTCAGGATGCAAACTCCCTACGGGATATCTCACCAGAAAAGGGAAAAAAAAAAAAGCCTAGTATTGAGAAGTAAATTTTAAAAATATTTCCCAGTTTTTTCAATTTTATTATTTTTTTTTTCAGTCAGTGACTAGAGAGGGAAGCCTGTGTGACATAAGCTGTGCTGGTGATGGCATCTCTGCCTACCCCTCTGTTCCATTCTAGGCTGAGCACAGGGTCACTGAGGTAAAGACACTGGATGCCACAGGCTCTTTGAAGAAGGTCAGGAAACTTGCTCAGTATAACCTTGTGTACTGTCTGGCCAACCGAAGGTAATGTCAGAGTGGATAAGTTTGTTAAAAGCATGACAAAATTTTCCTAGACAATTCTTTTCCAATCACAAGTTATTCTGCTTTGGAAATAGACAAGGAGACAAGACTGTGGTTGAAATTTTACTCTAGGACATTTTTTGTTATTGAAATCTTTTTTTCTGGGAATGTTCTTTCTTTTTCCTCTTTCTCAGCGTATGTGGTCACTTGACCTCTTTTCATCAATTGAGATGATACAATTCTTTCCTTTGCAGGATAGAAGTCTGGTTAGAGAAAGCCTGCATTTTGCTGGAGCTCCTGCCAGACTTCCTGCATGAGACTGTCCGAGCCCTTTAGGGAGCTGGGAAAGGAATCTCAAACATGTGACATTGCAGTGTCATGGTGTAGTGGCCAGGCCTATTTAGCCATGTGAGCTCAACTAGGCCAGGAACAGTGCCAGCTAGGCCTGGAAAAAGTAGAACAACATGGGTTGCAGAGCACAGTTTAGTACTTCAGTAATGGAGTCAGGAAAAGGTCTGAAGGCATGTGACACACGAAGTTTACTGCCATGGAAAAATCTTTGTGCTGCCAACTTTAAAAGACAGTGAGCACTTTCTTTCTGAACTTTGTTTCCTCTTCCTTTTACAGAGAACATCCAAGGGAAAGTGTCCTTCCCTGCCCCGGCCCTTTGCCCTCCTGGGACATTGCACATTTGTTTTGCCTTGTCATAGTTACAGACGTTGAGGAGTTGGTCTGTTTCACGCAGATAACACTTTGTTTATTCCTTATGAGAACTAGTCTCATTTACTGGGCTATATGTATGAACCCACTAATTAAATAGCTACTGCAGGAAATTTAAAAAGAAATTAGGGCATTTTAACAAATATTTTTTTTCTCCCTATGGCAGAAAAATCATACTTTTCTTTGTTAAGGGAAATTTAACCAACCTCTTGCTATTGAGTCAGCCCTGACCCACAGTGACCCTGTGTGTGGCAGAGCGGAGCTGTGCCTGTGAAGTTTCCAGTGGCTAATTTTTCAGAAGTAGAGAGCTAGGTCCTTCTGTGGTACTACTGGTCAGGCTCAGACTTCCTTTCTGTTAGCATATTAACCAAGCATATTAACTGTACCACCCAAAGTAAGAAATTAATTTATTGCAAAATTGTATGTCATTCACATGTGGGGTGAAATTAGCTAAGCATGACCAATTAAAACATCTAGTTTTATTAATCTCTGAGACAGCTTTTTAATTTTGTTTCTTTTTTGTATACGTTTTCCCATTCATGCACATTGTGTTTCACACATTTCATCATTCACATTGTGTTCCATATGATCATTCTCAAGCATTGTGTTTTATAAAATTAATGATGATATGTCTCTTAACCAGAGTTATTCACAAGATCTGGGAATAAGTAGCACCATGCTCTTATTTTTAAATCTCCAGTACCTTTCTTTATCTGCCCTCTGGTGGACACAGTAGTGAACTGAAGGTCAGCAAAATTCTCTAGGAGAAAGCGTAGGAGTTGCGTCCCTGTCTTCACTATTGTGAATAATGCAACAATAGGCATGAATGTGCATAGATCTGTTTGAGTTATGGCTAGCTGGGACAAATGGTATTTCTATCTCCAACCTTGTGAGAAAGCACTAGATTGCCCTGCATAGTGTTTGCCATTTTACATTCCCTCCAGCAGTCAATGAGAACAACAGTCTCTCTGCATCCCCACCAGCATTTGTTGTCTGCTGCCCAGTTAAACTTTGCTATAGGTTCTGGGGTGAGATGACGTCTCATTCTTGTTTTAGTTTGCAGTTCTCTGATAGGTAGGGATTTTGAACGTTTCTTCATGTGTTTGTTGATCATCTGAATTTCTTCTTTGGTAAAGGCTATTCAACTTCCCATCAGCAAATGAATGGTTAGAAAAACTGTGGTATGTTCACACAATGGAATATGACACAGCTTTGGGGGGAAAAATGAACTTGTAAAACAACATGGAGGAATCTGGAAGATATTATGTATGCTGAATGAAATACTTCAGTCACAAAAGGACAAATACTGTATAACACCACTGTTACAGGATTAGCATGGGGAGAGGCACAGAGAACAGGAAAACAGTGCATTGAAACAGATGAGGGGAAGAACTATATGAAAGAGAAGTATGGTTAGGCATTATGTGTATGACAACACTTTGGAACAGGAGGTGAACTGGGGAGGGGGAAGGAGGAGAAGAGAGGAAAATGTGCAACAATGAATGAAAACTCAGCTTTTCTGTAAACTTTCATTGTTATTGTTTTTATATGCCGTCGAGTAGTTTGCGACTCATAGCGACCCTATGCACAACAGCCCTAAACTCTGCTCTATCCTGCGCCAACCGCACTGCCTCTGACACACCCATCCCGATTACC